CATTGGGGGAGATGGGCGGCATACAAATTTGAAAAATAAATAAATAAATAAATAAATAAATTTATGGGAACTGTATGCTCTCTGGGTTTTTTTTGCTATCCTCAGGGTTTTGTGGAGCTATATCATTGAGATAAAAAGAAAAACTAACCAAAGTCAGAAAATAAAATCAACCTTCATATGAGATCAATTATATAAACATAGGAGGCACCAACACAGAAAGATTTTTAAAAGGACAAAATAAATAAAAGAAACGTATTTTATTAGTACTGTAGCATATATTTTTAAAGATTGTGAGAAATGTTCAGAACTCTGAGAACTAAAAAATGAAAAGAAACACCAGGAGAGAACTATCTCAATCCCTTTATGTGTTTGAGCTTTCATGTATTTTTAACCCTGGTGAAAAACAATGCTGGAACAGATGAATTTTGGTGTCATCATGTAACCATTCTTATGTTCTTAAATAATCTGGTATTTCAGAATTCTAATAGAAAAGAATATATGTAGCTCAGGGTTGAACTGTGGTTGAACATCACTGCACTGATGATGTTACTTAGTTGGGTAATGAAACGTCTGCAAGCAAACAACCAAGCTCAGAGAGCACCAAGGATCCCACATTTCAGAATTCCTCTATCATTCTACTTCACAAAATACCTACTGTTTACTTATGAGGCATTAATTATATACTATTAAAATTTAACTTACAATACATTTTAAAGAATTTTTAAACTATCCTTATTCAGTATCCCATATTTAACTGAAATACTTTTTAAAATTCTTACCTAATTCACAGATAATAGCAATACATGCTCGAACCATCCTGTCCCTCTCCTGAAGACCATCATTTCCAACAGCTATCAAAGAATTAGTAACTGAACTGGGAAATAATGAAGCATTCACAGTGATCATCTGCAAAGAATATATATATAAAAAGGAAGAATTTACTGCATACATAGCACAATTAAAGAACAACGCAAAACATTCCGTTATCTGTATTAAACTGTATTTCACCCACTTGAATATTTTGTTTTGGTATTCTGTTCTTATATCTGTAACTTCTTGTTTAATTTTTTTTTTTTTAAAGGTAAATGGTGTACTACAACCATACAAAGAAGCCATAAGGGAAAGGATTGCTGCTAGAGCATCAAGATCTTTTTATTCAATTTATCCATACAAATTGAAGAATAGCAAAAACATACTCAAAAGCTACTTCAGAAGCTGCTGAAATGTGCTCCAATAAGAATAATTTCTCCGTCTGAAAAGTTCATATAAATAATAAAGTCTATAGAAAAGCTGGGAATATGAGAGCTTCATACAGCTCCAAATGTGACTCCGAAAGTCCTGTATGCCATTAAAAATAGGTGCTTTTGAGAGAGGCCAGTTTAACTGCTTTTTTGAGATGGAATTTTAAACTAGGGCATCAATAAAGTAAGTAGAATGGAACACATACATTTTGACCCAGAGTTTAGTTGCAGCTAACCATGTCCTGACTTCCAATAGGCCTTGTCCTGTCCCTTAAAGGACTACAGTATTTGGTACACAGCTGAGCAGCGTTAAGAGGGCTCTCAGAAAGTGGGCCTGAATATTACAGAGCCCTTGAGATATTATATTTATTCACCAGAAGCCCTGCAGAGGAGCTAAATGTACTAAATGTTACATGATTGTATATGCTTCTTTTATTTGATGTTTCTCCTTCCATATCTTAAGCTTTTCCTGAAAGTCCTCTGACTCTGTTTGGCTTTGGAAAGGCACAGGGGCTATAGGGAGTATGAAGGTCAGAACTGTGACCATGGATGAGGGATGCAACCAAACTAATACTTATCTGTATATTTGTTTTATATTTATAATCTTGTTTATATCATCTTAACTGAATTTCATTACCAGTTTTCCATATTAAATAACCAAGCTATCTGCAATATTAATTATTTTACAGTCATATAAGATTTGATATGGATAATTTAGTAAATGATGGTATTATACTGTGAGTCTTCACATACCTTTCTGACTAAACGAAGTGCTTGTGTTCGTTCTACTTCATTACTCTGCTGAATATCTATGCATCTAAAATTAAATATATATATATATTTATGTACATATATTTATATCTACCTATAAAAACATGGTTTATTGTATTAAACATTTAATGTATTAGTCCCTTGTATTTAGGATTCAGACGTTAAAATTACAGCAAGGGTCCTTTATTATTGGCTGACTTGGATCCAGAATCTGTTTCTCACATATACACAAAGCTTCCTTCCTTCCTTCCTTCCCCAGAAGATGACCCTGTGGAATACTTTTGATGGAAAAAAAAGGACAGGTGATGTTTTCCCTATACCTGTTGAAAATCTACCTCCAAAAGATCTGCAGGGAGAAGTGGCATCTTCTGGTTCATGGATTGGAGACTGCACAGGGGTAGCACAGGGAAGAAAGAACAAGCAAGAACTATGTTTTTCACTTCCTCTCAAAGTATGAGTAGAACTGTGCTGGTAGCTGAAAATGCTCAAATCAACCCAAAATTATTTTATAGGATACGCAGATGAGATTCAAGTTCTAAAGATTGCTGAGGCAAAATAATCCAAACAACTATTTGCCTCAAAGCCTCCACCATGAAGTGTTTCAGTTCATTTACTTATAAAATGACTGTAGCTCTACTGCTCCAAATCCAAGTATCAACAAAATAACATCCTCAGCAAGAACAACCCAAGAGTTACAAAATATACCGCAGGCTCTAAGAGGACCTAGACGTGGCTTAAAGCAAAAAAAAGGCCTACAGAAGTTAATTGTTTTATATAAAAGTTTGGATGAGGCATACTGTAATTTCAGAAATGTTAAAAAAATGCTTCAATATGTTTGCTTATGTGACTGAAGGAGAATTTCTGTACATACATGAATCCTGTACATACACTGAATATACATATGGATGGGATCGTGATTCCTATGGGAGGAGGCCCAAGTTACAAATTGAATAATAAAAATGGGCACTGTTGAAGGGTCATATAAATAGCAGATTCTCATGAAAAATCCGAGTAATTCCAAATTGCGTTATGGTAGTATTATTTGGTAATTACCTGGCTATCAAGTAATCCACTTTCAGTTTTAATACCTTCTGTAAAATACTGGAGTCTCTGATAAGGTATCGAAGAGCTCGGAGTCCTGCTGCTCGCACCTCTTTTGCTTCATTTAGTAAAGCTAACCGCAAACTGTGATGATAAAGAAGTCTTCAGGCTATAAATGATCAAAGTATATCCATTCTATATTCCCCAACCCCATTTTATGTGATTAACTTGCTATGTCTGACTATGCTTACTTTAACACTGTAATACTTAAAATGTGAGTAAATACCAACTCTTTCTTTTTTACAACACTTTAATCACCAGCTAATAATGTATAAAATCCTGTAAATATGTCATTTAAAAACCATTAAATATCTAATGTATTATATGTTTAGGCAAATTAACTAAATGAACATGAATCTAGAGAGTGACACATAAACATAAAACAAAATTTTACACTTTGCTGTAAATTTTAATTGTTGAAACTAAGTCAGAATTCTTGGTACCACAGAAGAAACATCTTTGGATCTTTTAAAGAACTGTATAATCCCAAATTTGCAAAGTTTTAAACAATTTATCAATCTACCAATGCCAACTGATTAAATTTCTTGGCTTTAGTTTAAAAAAAAGTTATAAAGAGCTTAAATTTTCCCAAAGCTCATCTCTGTAGTTTCAAGTATACAAACAGAGGCCAATTATTCACTGCTTTCAATTAAGGAAATCCTTCCCCTTGAAACACATGGCCTAGTGACATGTGTTTTAGATGGCCTTGGGAGCTATTTCAGAAAATTATTAAAATTTAAATTCTTTGGCTATTCCATTGTATAGCCAGTAAAGATTCATTAACTTTACGCATAAAAAGTGCTAGTTTCTATTGTCTGGATTCATTTGCAGCTTCTTATCAGAATGATCAAAAGTGAAACCACTATGGGGTAGAGAATCACTACACAGATAAATGTTTTCAATCTTACACTGGTATATGATATTTTTCCCAGAGGTTTTCAGCTTAGCACTTTACAAGATTTTGAAAGTCAGAAGAATGGCCAACTGGGTAAAAAAGCACATGGAAGCGTGTTTGCAACTTTTAAAAAGACCTACGCTTTTTTCTAGGCTTGTGATGGCCTTTAAAGAGTTGTAGACAGTTGGTATGTTTACACTATCACAGGTCCAGAGCACCAAATCTAAAGCATGGCATAGCCCTGATACTTATATTAAATCCCCTGTATATGCTTAAAACCATAACAGAACAATTCAAAAGAATTTAAAAATTAAAAAGAATAAAAGTAATATTTACTCAGATACGAACAATCTTGAGATAAAGATGAGGTCAATAAGATCTTTTTTTTATATCATTAACAGATATTTTTTATTAATGTACAAAATAAAACTGATATTGTTAAAATTGTTTCTGATTTTAACACAGCAGTATAATGCACTCATTTCTGTTAGCAGAAAATGAGTAAGACATAATTGTCCAACTTAGCTGTAAAAGGAAAGACAATGCATTTAAGTACTAAATAAAGTATTTCTCTAACACCTCCAAAAGAAAATATGTCACACTGACATCTATAACATATTACAAATTTATTGTTTTTACAAATATATCAGATCAAATCATAGCATATTTTGTAGTATCTATCTGCATACTCACTGTTTATAATTATTTAGATTCTTTGCTATCCCAACGTATGGCTAGTAATGTCTGGTTATTTATTTTAAACAAAAACAATTTTAATGTAAAGGTTTTCTTTCAGGTCTTTTACACCACAGGCTTATGTTTAAGGAATAGCCTGGCCATATATCCCAACTGTTCATCAGGAACAGGAATAACAGTCAAGCTAATAATCTCTATTGCTCACAACTGTTACTGGATCTGGTGCCCAGCCTAAATCCACATTAAGGTTCCGTTTCCACATTTCTTGCCCATCATGAATGAGAATTTCTAGCACTTAGTTCTAATTCTGCCATAAGCCATCATAATTCTCCTCTGGATAAGGCCCCTTTCTGATTTGTTCCAATCCAGAACTTCAACCATCATATTATTTACAATATGTAATACTTACCATATGATGATATCTTCATAAGTAAAACCTAATTTTTCTTCAGTATGACCAGCGTTACAAAGAAGCTGCAAGTAAACATATACATTTCAGTACTTTTAATAAGATTTAATTCATAAATTCAACTAATCATTTCCTCACACCCCACTAGCTACACTGTTTCCCAATTAACTAATCTGAGCATTTTTCCAGGATATTACAAGAGGAGGAAGAAATGGCCTGGTTGAATTATTCTCATTAGTTTTTGTCTAATTATTTTAAAAGATTACTTCAAAAAAGGCAAGCTAATGATAACTGGATTTACTGAAAATCTGCTTTATTTTTCAGATGTATCCAGGATTCTATAATTACCTTAAAAGACATTGCAAGATTGTCAGGTTTGAACACATAAATTAAAAATGACATATAAATTATTTGGTCTCTCTGAAAACAGCAACTCCACACAATCCTGAATTTTAAAAAAAAATGATTATCACTCACATCTTCATCCAATTCATTTTTGTGGTAATGCTACTACCACTCTTATAGCAAAACTCACCAATATAATTTTCATTCAGTTGCCTGTAAATACATGTTAACAAAAATAATAAAAAATGATTAAACTGTTTGATAACCTGCTATGTAGGTCATTTGTCACAGTAAGGATGTACTGTATACTAAATGGCAGATAATCTTAAAGGCACAGATATTAGAAAAATGAAGCGTCAGGAAATGCAAAAAAGGCTTGAGACTTTGCACCACCAAATTTTATTTAGAAATATTTTTATTGGAAAACAAGTGTGTTATACTAGTATAAGCACTTTGAAAAGGGGAAATGAGATAATAGCTTAAAAACTGTATAGTAGTAAAGGAATAATTTCTAATGTTTTTCACTGTGTTTTTTTTTTTCTTTCATTGTTATTTCAACTTTCTAAAGCTCCTAAAAGAACTGGAGTATGTAACTGCACACCAATTTTCTCAGAGTTTTTTTTTCTAAAGAGCAGCTCTTGGATTATATAATACGTAATTTTCAAACTGCCTCCACATGGTCTCCACAATATCAATGGAGTCATATAATTATTACTTGCTGAAAAAATTTTTTTAAAGCATGTTGGGACCTTTAGTTATAAGTGTCACAGTATGAAGCATCATAGTTCTACCTATTTAATTTATAGAATTTCTAAATTATGATATACCAGAAATATTTTTTTTTCACATATTCCCTTTTTTCTTTTCAAAACTACCACCAAGCTAACCACAGGAACATTCCAATAACCCAAAGAATTTCTGGCATTCTATAAAACATGGGGGCAGCTCTTTGGACATTTAGGAATGTGCTTGAGATCTGCTCAAGCATTATGTCTAAACAGAGCAAAAGCAACACAAGAAAGAAACTGGCCATACAAATGACCCACCTCCGATATTTCAAACCTGCCCTAACATTCTTGACAGTAGAGGGGAATTTTGGGTGGGGAAACCTACAGTAGGTGTCTACTTATTTTCACTTGAATACAAGTAAAAAATGTTACATGTAGAAAGTGAAATAAAGAGAATACACCTGTACACTCATGTGGATACAGTCACAAGAAGCTTCTGAACCAGCTCTATGAATCTTGCAAAAGATGCAGCTGCTTTAACAATATAAAGAGATGTCTGCATACCCATGCACTGTGAAGCATTTCATTTGAATATTTCACAAAGTACTACAAATAACTTTTTCTTTTCCATATCGTTGCCATATAGGATTGAAGTGACCCTGGACTGGTTTACACTGTTTGACTTTCTGGCAATTGGTTAGTACCATTTTATTCATCTTTCAATCACAGAAAATTTAATGGGGTACATCAAGTTCATATATTTCTTTCCTCTCTGGGGCACAAGGAGCTCAGAAGCCTTCACAAGTATAGTAAATTATCTGCAGCTTGCCATGTTATCAAAATCCACACAAACTATTATTAATCCACACAAACTAATTAATTTAAATATTATAAATTAATTATTAATATAAAAACAAGTCAATTCCAAACCAGAATTATGAAATTGGGATCTTTCAATTAATTGTAAGATTAGGTACTACAGTTAATCATAGTGTTTGGATGACTTAGTAAAATCCAGGTAATCTAAAACAGAAGATCAGATCTCCTTTTCTGTTGCAACCTCAAGGAGAGTACAACCTTGAGATTTATTGAGATTTGTTCTCATATTACTAAATTTACTGTATTGAGGTTTGTTCTCATATTACTAAATAACTAGTGTTAAATCTAAACAGTTTGTTCCTGCTCCCTTAATAATCTATTTTAATAATCCAAATGTCTTTCTTCAAAATTGGTCCTCACATTTGCTGGGCACTTTTAATATGTTAAATATATCAAAATGTGGGAAGTGATTGTTAAATTCTCTAAAGTTAAATAATCCACAAAAACGTAAGCATAAATAGCTATGACAAATATATACGTTGTCCACCAAATCTTGCCTTTCTACCGTACCTAGATATTGGGTAAAAGGGAAGGGCTTTCTTTATCCTGAGTTGCTTTTCTTTGTTTTGTGCGGAGGTGCGTGTGTGTGTGTGAGAGAGTGAGAGAGTGAGAGAGAGAGAGAGAGAGAGAGAGAGAGAGACAGCATCACTGAATTGAATAAATTAAATTAAATAAACATGCCTCGTTTCTTGTGAATTCTAGAACATACACACATTTAACTGTATTCAACACCATTGGTACTTTTATGTATGTTCTCAACATTTTCAATCATTTACCCAGCTGGTATGAGGCTTTTGGTAAATGGAACACTGGAACAGCCCCTCCCTCCAGAGATACAGACAATGGCCTCTTTTCTGCGGTTCTGAAAAGCAAGACCTGGCTTTGGTCTCAGGTCCAGGGTTGATGTGTTTGTGGGGCTTCTGGTTTGACGTGATTTGTGACTGTTATGATTCTTTTAGTCCGGGCTGCCTGTGATGTTGTATGCTTTTAACTGCTTTTATTGTTTTGTATTTGTAAGCCACCCAGAGTCTATGGGAGTGGGCAGCTACTATAATGTTAATTAATTATTTAAATATTGTGGTGTGTGTCCAGTATTTGTCTGGTTCCACTCATTCCCCCTTATCTCTGGGAAGAAGTCCAGAAATGGCATTCTAAGGTTCATGCTGGAACCCAAAGCTAACACCTTGGCAGAGCCTTAAAACTGAAACGTACAACCTTCAAGGTCATAAACTGTAGGGTTGCCAGAGCTTAGCTCCTGGATAAGCATCTCTGCCTACTTATTCAGTCTCACTGAAAATAAGTGAGCTTCTAATTCAGAGATGGATTGCAATGATCATCATCTGAAAGCTGACCTTCCTTTCACTTCAAATCACACAAGGAGTTATTATCAGAAGTGGCACATGACTTTGTTTCCTTCTACTTTCACTTAGTGCACTGAAAGCTGAGGGCCCTAAGTGAAAAGCAGAAACCCTGTCCTTGTTCTTTCAGCTCCTTTGTCTCTGATACTGCCAACACAGATGTCTATGTTCTTTTGCATCCCTTTGCTTTCTCCTCTCTGCTCCAGTGTCTTCAGAGGCTTCTGCTTCCTGATTTGATCTGGTTCATATGGCTGGCCAATCTTCCCCCAGTCTCTGAAACTTGGAGACCACACAGCCTCTTGACTGCAACCTGTTATTGGTATACCAATTTGCTGGTCTGATGGCTGCAAGAGTTGCCTCCTCTATGCTCTTTCCAAACCTTCTTTTCTATTGTTTTCATCTCTTAAAATGGAACCAAAAGAAAAGCTCTTGCTTCCTCCAAAGAGGTTGGATTAATGACTGAAGGGAGGGGTTTCCATTACAGAAAGAACTGCTTTCAAGCTAGAACACTGGAATGAACTCTTTCCTGTTAGCACCATCTTCAGTGACAAACTACATAAAAAATGTAGTTTGATATAACTTTATAATTCCTGAAATTAAGATCCATACACCACAAACTTTAACATAAATGCAGAATTATTACTTCAAAAAAATTACAATTATTTATTACCAATATTTCAACCATTGATAATGTACAGAAAAGCTTCAGATTCCTGGGTAGTTGATTTGTTTGAAATAGCAAATTTATTCAGATAGTATAGAAATGGAATCCTCACAATTTTTATATTTTAAATGTTAGTACTTTTACAGTGACTGGAGATTGACAACAGTATGGTGAAGAAAATATATACAACTTCACCGTAACAATGTAACTGCTGATTGTATCAGTTCACATGATGGAAGAGAGTAATCTGAAGAGAGCAGGCTAGAAGTTACTCACTAGCCTACAGCAAGTACAGGAGGAAGCTAATGCAAATTAAGTATCTGAACCACTACATTTTTGCCTATTGTTGTATCTTGTTTTTAATGTTTTTATTTAGTAACCAACCAGAGTTGTTGGGAGTCAGGCAGCATATACATTTTAATAATAATAATAACAACTTAAGAGTACCTTTAGCAATTCTAATACAGATGGAATCTAAAGAAGAAACTAATTTCTCCCAACTATTGCCATCTTTAATTATGAAAATAAAAAAAGAATTTCTTTCAGGCAGCGTGAGAAATTAGAAGTTTTACACCCTCACAGTGTACTGTTTAATTTAGGGTTGGAAACACATCAAAGGAAATGGATTTCATCTCACCTAATGTTAAAGATATAACCATCAGGTTAAGAATATAACCATCACCTCTTCTTTCCCCATACATCACTTTGGAGAAAAAATTAAGCCTCTTTACAGGAATCCCTGTCCTCATGATCAAACGTTAATTTCTATTTTAACAAACTGCAGATGAAGAGAATAAGGTAGAATCAAAACTATTCCTTGATTCCTTCTACACTGATACTGTTTCATCCAAAGTTCCATCCCTTAATTCCAAATTAGGACATTATCTCCATTGATCAATGGCAAGAAAAATAATGTGATTATGTCCTGGGCATTAAATATCACAAAACTCACAAAATGCTATTGCATTTATGCCAGAAATAAGAGTATAAGAGAGCAGTTCAAAGAACAGAGAATTTAGAGATCAGGTGTTACACTTCTCTTCTGTTTTGTGTGCATGCTTAATTTTGTGAAGGAAGTTTATAAAATACTCTAAAGCAGGGCTGGCTTTAGGTTGAATAGGCACTGATCTAGGGCATCAAAGCTTTAGGGGTACCAACACCACCCCTTCTTCTGAATCATTCCAAAAATGCAAAAACTTCACATTGGCAGAAGACGGTGTCAGCAGTCAATGTGGCCCAGAGGTGTCATATGCCCTTGAGCAGGCACTGCTATATTTGTCTATGAGCAAAATGTATACTAGGGAGCTGCACTGGTTACCTCGTGCAATTCAAAGTGCTGGTTGTTACCTATTATATCCTATATGACTCAGTGCCTGAGTATTTTAGAGACCACTTTTACCCGCACAATATACAATGCATTCGGAAAGCATTCAGACCCCCTTCACTTTTTTCAGTTTTGTTATGTTGCAGCCTA